ATATGAGAATATAATGGTAATATAAAAGCTGCTACTTATTATCAAACAATCCAAACTATTAATATTGTTATTATTATTTTTTTCCCAGGGGCGATGGTGGAGTCACAAGCCTACTAATGTCCAAGCTCGACTAGTGAAACAAGAAAATATTTTGGGAAAATGGTATGCTTTTCGTGTGGTTGCGTTCATTTTCGATTTATTTTCTTTCCTTTTTTGTGATCATGATTATATTTTTTTGTATATACCTTTGTTTGCCTTCCTGCATGTACATAGTTTGTTAATAAAGCTTCCAACAATTACGTCTCAGTTTATTTTTGTTTTGAGAATGCATTTTGAAACACACATTTCACGATATGAATGTGTGAACTTGTATAATTTCGAGATGAGCGATTTTAAATTTATTTTCTGCTTATTATAAGGTGTTAATCATAAGAAGTGAAAAATCAACAGGTTTTCCATAATATAGGGTGTTGCAACAGGACTTTCGGAATTTGACAATTGCTAATGGCTATTTTGTTGAAGCTTCCTTTGTCAAATCAGTTGTCATTTATTCAATCTGTCTTGCCAAATCACCATGGACGGATATAGTATTCAACAGCACGTGCAATACCCGTACGTCGACGAAACGCAGGATCTGCCGAAAACATCACCGCTGTCTGTGAGGGTGTGTAGGAGGATTCGAGGCAGTCAATTTCGTCAACTGACCTTAATTTTCATCGAAAAATCATTTTCAGCGATCAGGCCCATTTCTGGATGAATGAGTACGTGAACAAACAACATTGTTGAATTTGAGCGTCTAATGCATTCAAAAAAGTCACTGTTTGGTGTGGATTTTGGGCTGGCGGCATCATCGATCCATATTTCTTTGAGAATGACATTGGCCAAGCCATCATTGCCACTATAGATCGATAAATACCAACTTTTTTTGGCCTGGATTGGATGATCTGGACACCAACGACATATAGTTTCAACAGGACGGCGCTACGTACCACAAGCTCATGCCACATTGAATATTCTGCACAAGCGACTTGAGGGCATGGTCATCTCACGTGGATGTGATGTGAGTTGGCCACCAAGATCGTGTGATTTGACCCCGTTAGACTTTTTCTTGTGGAGTTTTCTTAAGACGCAGGTGTATGCGAAGAAGTCACAGCGGTCCTCGTAGCCATCATAACCCATGTCATCGGTCAAATTCAGCCTGATTTATGCGCTAGAGCAATGGAAAATTAGACGTTTCGGATGCACTCCACCCAGAGAAGCCGCGGCGGACATTTCTGTGATATCTCACACACACTTTGTTTATTTGAATTTAAAGATAGGTAGCCCTTTCATTAAAACAACGATAAAAATTAAAACAACAATAAAAATTAATTAGCGCTCCGGAGCAACTTCATTGATTCCAGTGGCACATTTGTTTTTCAGCTGCAGGAAAACCCGGAAAAACCTGCAGCACCAGAGGCTCCAATAGATTCAGTGCATCGCCAGAACACTTCGTGACACGACTATCGTCAAACTTAAACCAGTCCGTTTCGTCTTTGATCAATGCTTAATAATGACCAAATTCAACGCCAGAACCACAGTGAACAATGACTGCATAAATATTATAATAGTGGTCTGCTAGATTGAAATGTTCATCTATTTCGAACCTTCCAAAGGGTTTCTTGCTTCCGTCAGAGGTTGAGTCTTGTTTGAAGATCATCAGTGTTATTATTAGGTTGACTGGTGCCTCGGCTATACTTGTTTCTTTATAACAGTCAGTTAGTTTGCCCTTAATGAAAGACCCAATGAAAGTCTGCATCACGATTAGTTCTGCAATTGTTGGTGAAAAAAAAAATTAATTAGAAAACCCAAAAGTTTGCTCTAATCTTGAATCAACAATCTTTCCAGCCGAAAGATATGTTTCAGCAGAATTTGGAAATATTGGAAAACACACGTCATATCCAGCAAGAACATATTTTAGTTAATAAGAACATCCTTCCTACGAAGCTATGAAAATATTCGACAATTTTTAACGCTCGTCTCTATATTGTGGGAAGATCAATCAGTAAAGTTGAAGTATGGCGATAATGTATATTTTTGTGAAACAACACCGATCTGCACAAAGATATGGACATACATTTTACTTGCCCTGTACTTCAAAGTTGAATCTTTACCGGGTATTGCTTATACCCTGGGAGTGGATACCACCCCTTCTCAGGGTTATGAAATGTTGTTATTGAAAATTAGTCCAGAAATGGATAGATTGACTAATTTTGAGCAACAGCCGTTCCATAAAAATGTTTCTGAAAGTTTCAATTTTTCAATAAAAAAACACGGTTTTTCGCGACTAACACAAAAACTATGAATTTATGGATTATGGTGTCTTTAGACCCAACACAAACGAAGTGGTACTTTGCTGAAGGTTGGTTCTTATTTATAAATTGCCAAAACTGAAGTTACTAAAAAGCAATGCATTCTTTGGGAAAAATTCACAGAATATTCTCAAAAATATTTAAAACTGAGCAAGTCATGATGAAGATGATCCCTATTATTTTTTTCGACGACAAGAAATGAAAAGTATCTCCTGGTTTCCACCACAATTGTGAGTAATCGTTACCACTTTACATTTCACCTTATTTATACTCATTTTCGAAAACATTGAGCTTATATTCATACAAGAAATGTGTAAAACTGCCGAAGGAGAGTACAAAGCAATCAAGTTCCAAATAAACTCTTCACAAAGATGTGTAGGTCAAGCATAGAATTTACTTTCAGATAGCCACAATGAACCCTTGCGGGTTGTGGAGGAGGGTCGATTAGATCCAGTCACTTTTGACTTTTTGGCCTACTTTCAGATACAAACTGAAAAAAAGCCCTCTCGAAAGAAAATGTAGTTTCAAAACTTCTTTCATCCAAAATTCAATGTTTTTTTTAGGTTATACTGAATGTTTTCTTATGGAATTGAGACAGATATATTCCATAGGAATGCTACACAATATAATACTTATATGAAAGAGTAGATAGCCAAAAATACTTTTTCTTTTTTTGGAAAAAAATTATCTTTTCTAATAAATAACCTAAAAACTATTGATGATAAGTATGTTGGAGTATTGACGAATACACATCATAGCTATATTTTGCATGTTAATGAAAATTTTCGTGGTATTTTGAAGAAAAGGCAATATTTTGTAAAATCACAAAACTGCTATCTTCAATTTGAGCCCAATTTATTTCAGGAACTGAGTACTATGAACCAGTATGAAGGAAATTTAATATGTTTTTCCTGGAAATGCATTGTTTTTTGCTTACTTTACGTCGAAATTTTCCATTTTGGTGACTACTAACACCATAACCTCATAATTCTTTTCTTTTTCTTATATTCTACATTTCCACTAGGAATAATTTTTCAATGGAAACTTTTATTACTTATTCGCGAAAAAAACGCCTAAAAGCGTAGGTTCGTCGATTAAAAGTCACACTCACTCGCGAAAAATCTTCATAGAACGGATGTTGCTCAGAATTAGTGAGTTTATTATTTCCAAACTCTTTTTCAGAAAACGGTTGACAATAAACCCCAAAATAAAATAATCCCCAGAGCAGGTCAACTTTGTTTGACAAAATGATACGGCGAGACCACTTCCATGATTCCTCAGACAGGAAACAATCTATGTGAATACATAAAATATAGGATGGAACACATTAGGATAATCTACTTATAGCCTATCTCTGCATCTATAGAGTAGGGAGGGTTAGTGTAAGCCCACGCACTTAGGCCACATGTGACCCGTTGTACATCCTCGCGAGGAGTTGTCCTCTTGGGTCATCGTCCATCCTGTCCTTTCCAGGAAGGTGGACATGTCACATGGGGGACATCTCCTTTATATCGGCAGGTGTAGGCCAAGACTTGCCGAACACACACTCTCTTATCGATGATAACTCCGCATAGGACATGCGTGACAGTCTCATCTTCCTGTTCACACATCTTGCATAGAAGTGTGTCCACTAGCCCCATATTATGGAGTTTCCTCAGTTGACAATGGCCAGTAACCTACTGTTAGGCGTAAGTTTTTCCTGGCCATCGCCAGATATTTCTTCGGCGCCAGCTTCCCAGGGTCACCCAGGGTAATCCTGGCAAGATTGCATCCTTTAATTATATCCCATCTCTTCAGGGATTGAGCATGGGTGTAACATTTGGCTAGTTCCGCAATTGTCGGAAGTCATCAGGCCGTAGGTGCCACTGGGTCCTTAAATTCTCAGTCCAGCCGCTTCCTTGGCTAAAGAGTCGGCAATGCGATTAGCTTTATTCCTATCGTGCCCTTTACCCACCTCAGGATAATGTTACTAATAGCCTAATAGCTCCATGGGTAGATCAAGGATTTGGCGTTCAACTTGTTGTAAATTATCCCCTAAAAAAATTACACTGGCCACCTTTGTCAATCGACTCAAATTAGCCAAGGTCGCGCCCAATTCCACTTGTGTTTTTCGATAGTTCTAGGTGTCGCGTCGCTTCGAAAATAATCCTATCAGCTTTCGAAGACTTTCATTGGGATATATAAGCACTACCAAGTCTCGTTTTGATTGGTTTTCAGGTTTTGCCGTGATCTTCTTTTGTTATAATCTCCAAAAGTTTCAACTGCAACTGCGGTAGTAATTTTCAGTGGCTTGGTCGAAGTAGTCCTCTTCACGTGTTAACTGAAATTGAAGCTTTAAATTTCTGCAGTTTCATTTATACTGCTGATTTTTCGCGCAGTATTTGCAACAGTATATGTATAACCCAATGTATGTCCACAAGAATACATCCAACAAAGCTCCATGAGGCTACAGTGTTCCGTAAACTTGGAAGAATTGAACGAATCGAACGACTCCCAAGTAGGAAAAGAAGCCGTTCAAACCCGTTAGAATTACCTCCACCATCTTGTGATTAATCAGAAATGCATATTTGTGTAGGAATTGGAATCATATTCTTGAATCACTAAGACAAATTGAACAGCTTTGATGGAAAAAAAGTAAGTCAATATCTCGTTATATCCCAAAGAAAGCTGGAAAGCTCTGTGTGTTAAATAAGAATGACCTAAGATAGTTAACTGGACTTCTCCCTGGAGACTTTCCCTTGTTGCAAAAGTTCTCTGAAGAAGTGATCTAACGCCTTTTAAAATCAGAGACCTCTCCCCAGAAAACTAATTTCATCTCTCGAAGTCAGACTCAAAAAAGCCTTCAGATCAACTACAATCTGGAATCGTCATAATGAATTCTTGTTCGGTAGATGTCCTTTGTGCGATATGTCTGACATGGATCGGATTCAACACCACCTAGTATTATTGCAAAATCCAAGTGAGAGGCCGGGGTCAAATGGAATTTATCTTGTAATGATGCCCTGTGCAAGATTGGCCCTGGGTTTGACAAAAAAACCTTAAAAGATATCAAAGAGAGGTTCTGGTCTAATGGAATGCAATGCCCTCCAAGTATGGCCAGGAATCCAAACTAGAGATAATTAGTTTAGTATCAGTTAGAGGAGGGAATATTTCAGTACAAATGTTTTCTGAGATTCCCCAAATATTTTCATTGACTTATGTGTGAGGTTGATTTCCACCAATTTCCCTACACATCAATCAATGACGTTGATTTTCGTCTGAAGTATGTTTTTGTAGGTTCTCAAAGGTTTCAAAAGAAGACTATATTTGTTATACTGAACCATCTAATATTCGAAAGAAATACATTCCCACAAATCGTTCATCACTGTCCGTTCATCAAAAACTGAATTTTTGCTACGAATGCGTTCAACAATTCCTCTTCGATCTTTTGATATAGTGAAATAGAGTCAGGTGCAAAATTCTAGATCACATTCCTGGGATTACCCGATTTGAAACAGGTCCAGCGCAAAAAAGCAAGAATACGGAAAGTATTCTATAGTTAATGACTATGTCATTATTGGTTTCCAGTTATCATACTGAGGAGAAATTCACAAATGCCTGCCTCTCATTTCGAAGACGCCATCTATAGGAACGACAGAAAACTCAATCCACGACAATGAAAGTCAAACAAGGTTTCCCAAGCTTTCACATCCACTGCCGAACAAGATTCGTCCTTCTCCAACTGCAGCTTCCACTGCAAGGCAATATGTTGTAACCAGACTCCAGAAACAAACCATTCGTGATCCTACACTATACAGCTCTGTTTTGATCCGCCATAAACATAATCAGTGGTCCTACACTTGCTGTAGAAGCTATTAGCCTATGAGTTTTCTGCCAACCACATAGATGTAGTTTTTCTTAGGGAAATTGTTATCGCTTTTACTGTCTCAGGCTTGTCCTAGAGGAACACTTAGGTCCAGCAGTGCGCCGATAGCTCAAACACTGATGAGAGCTATGACGGCTCGAAACAGCGTTGCCTGGTATTGGATCACGAATACCTCGTATCTGAGCTCTAGCTTCGACTAGTTGCCTTGCATTGGAGAGTTTTGATTATCTTTGAGTCTTCTATCAATAACATAGATGGCGTAAGAGAAGATTCAATCGCCTGTTAGATATTATTTTGATAAACTGTATAGTTTTTCATTTTTCAATTGTTATTATTCATGTTAGCTATGAAAATGATAGACAGTTGAGAGTAGGTTTTTATAAATAGAGAGAGAGAGAGAGAGAGGACTGAGTTTGGAATATGATTGTAATTCGAGTAGGTAATGAAGATAGTACGTTTGGAAGTTACACTGTTTTGATTAGCCCTTATCTAGATTGAAAATAACAAAAAAATTAAAAACATCGCCTTAACAGTACAAAAGATATTCAATGTTTTCTGTAGACGATACTTCGTTGTTAGTTCATTTTGTCTAGCAGCAACAAATCACGCAGATTAGTGGGGTAATCACACACATACCAGATTCTGAGTATTATCTATGCATCAGATCATACTGAGCTCTGGCGGGCTTCTTGAGCTATGTAATCAATTTTATAACCAGTGATTGGTGGAAAAAGGACTATATATCTCGATTCACCTGTTGTATAGGATAGCTGAATCGCAACCCAATAATAGTAGATTATTCTGACATAACCTTGATTCAAATCATATAAAATTTGTGATTTGTTGTTGTCAGTCCATCTTGATGACACACTACATGTTTGAATGTCCGCAAATGGAAATTTTGGGATATATTTGATCTATAGAAAAATAGATCCTATTCAATAATACCAACTATAATACTGATGACTCTGAAAATTCCATATTGCCTGCTTCACTAGTGACAACTACTGATTTTGTTACAGCTACAATCGAAGAAAACTGGACGAGCTTCCCTACCACCATTTCCAACTCCACTCAAACCTAGAGGACTCAATATACCTCTCGGATATCTCGTGGATATACGACAAAGTATGTGGCTCCAACTGCTACCAGATCCTAGAAGACATCGAGCTCCAGGCAGGAACCGGCAACCGCTTCACCGAAATTCTAAAAGACTTCATAGAAACGCACGCGAGTGTCCTGAACTACGACGGCAGGCAGTTCTACTCGCATCTGCATGAATATCTGAGCGATAAAATTAGCAAGAATGAACTCAGTGTAGAAAATAATGATTCGCAAATTTCCCGTATGTACAGTGTAGCGAAAAACCCTCCAGTGTTGTCGTTGATTCCTATTAAGAGTGTGGTTGTTGAAAATCGGGAGCAACTGAAAAAAAAGAATTGTGAGGACAAAAACATCGATATCGTTGTGCGTCTGCCGAAAACCGATCAGTTCATTGTTACGGTTTCTACAGCTAAAAATGAACTCTGTGTTTGGGATATCATCAAGTGAGTATCTAAGGGTTGTTTTCTTCAAGTCTACACAGGATGTACCACAGTGTATTTCACATGCAATATCTACGTTATTTGAAAATATTGAAAGATTATCTGAAACTTTTATTAGGTTAGGTTAGGTCCAACGTGGGTGGATCTATTCGACCCTCCACCGCAACCCACAAGGGTTCATTGTGGCTCCCACCTATTCACACTCGACCAAATAAACCCAGCTTCTTAACGAAACCGATTAGATTGTATGATGCGTGGTCTTTCAGGTCGGATGGTAAGAGTATGGCTCTGTCGAACTCTGAAAACCTGATTCGGTCTACAGCGGGGCACGCACAAAGTATGTGCTCTGCTGTTTCATTGTTTTCCAAACAGAGGCGACACACACTGTCTTCCGACAGTCCGATTGTCTGCATATGACGATTCAAATGACAGTGACCTGTAAGGGGGCCTGTTAGACATCGTACTTCATCCCTACTGTAGTCCAACAACTGTTTGGTATCAAGCTTCGAAGGGTGAATGAACGCCTTGGAGAGTTCCAATCCTGGAAGTTTTGCCAGAAGTCCTTATATCTTCTTGCCATCCAGGTGTTCGATGTTTCTTTGGCAAAATCTAAAGCGATGCCATTGACATGTTCGGGTTCGACCCGAACCCCTCCCCGCACGTGAGGAGCTTCAAGCAGCTTTGCTTTGCTTTTGGAGTGCTTTGCAAGGGAGTCAGCAGCCTAATTGCCTTCCAGACCAGTATGGCCAGGACTTCAGACCAGAGACAATCTTTTAAGTCTGCCTATCGAGAAGAGTCGTTTTTGGCAATTTGCTACTCATTTAGACGTTGCTCAGTAGCTTCCAAGAGCTTCCAACTACGCTTGACTGTCCGAGAATATTTTGATTGACTTGTGTACACACAAACAATTTAATAGCATAGGTTTTTAGGCAAGTAGATATCTCTGTACTGGGTCTGCGACTGAAAACACCTGCACCAGAAACCGAAGGTGTTTTTGATCCATCTGTGAACCATCTGCTCTTGATATTTCCTTCTCCCGGAGGATTCAGTCCTCTCTACTCGGGAAAAGTACTTTATAAGGCAGTTCGTAGTTGACAGTTGGAGGCATAGTCTGTTGCACTCTGCATTAGATTAATTTGTACAATTAGCGGTGTGCACAAGTCTTCATACAGTAAATATTGCCTTTCTCTCCAGAAAAATGTGGAGAAGAGGTAGATCTAGAAGGATCTCCATTGCCGCTGACGGTGTGATACTGATAGTACCACTGAAAATGACGTTAGATTGTCCCATTTTCTCCTCTTGGTGAAGGGGATTATCACAGTTTTGCTGGGGTTGACAAATATCTGCTCCCTCAGGCACCAACTGTGACAACGTCCAACGTGCTTTGGAGGATATTTTATTACCGAAAGCGAAAGTTCTATTACCAAACATAGGTATAAAACTCAAAACGAGAAAGCTGCTAGACGAGACCATGGTCGAAAAGTTGATTAGGTATGTTTGTTTCGAAATGTTGCAAGATAACTCCAAGTGACATTTTTTCAATTGAGGAATTGTTCCAGAAATCTAGCTATATCCCGTCTTGGGCGTATGAGATAACCAACCCTCTCCCTATCTTGAACATCCGATCATGAAAAAGTACCAATCTAATTTAAATGTACCACATGAGTTAAAAAAACAAAACCATTCCAAGCTACTGAGCACAACAAAAAAGCATATTTCCTAAATGATAATGATAATGCTTCGAAAGTAGCTCGTGAAATTGTTTCTGAGCTGTCCAAATGAACTGCTCTGGAAAAATATAACTATAATTGATGAGTGTGATATGAATTATGACCTCTCTACAATAAAAAATGCCATTTCCTGAAGATTCTCTTTTCTAGAGTCATTCACAAAATCAGAACTCCATAATCTCTAGAATAGGTTGAATACTGAATGTTCCTCGGGATATGATGAAATCTCTAGGTTCGTCGTGGAAACAGGTCATCTTGCTTTGATAAAACCGCTACTTTATTTAGTAAACTTGTCTTTCTATTTCCAAATAGAATAAAAATAGGTAAGTTAGTCCCAAAAGAACAGACCTCATTTTCTGGAAAACTGCAGGCCAGTAACAATACCTCCAAGAAGGCCTTCGACAGCGTCAATAATATCATTCTCTTAAATAAAAATTCTCGTTATGGTATCCGAAGCGTTCCTCTGATCTGGGTAGCATACTATCTGTTTGTAGAAAACATTACGTTGCTGTCGACGGTCAGGTTTCAAATGTCGCTACTTCCGACCTTGGGATTCCTCAAGGAACGGTACTGGGACCTATATTGTTTGTATTATATATCAAATACTTGGACACTTCAACTTCTGCAACTTCTGTTACGATGTGTGCGGATGATATATCAGTCGAGAGGATTTAACGGTAGAAAGCAAATGTTAACAAGTATTTGAAAATTTCAAAAAATGGTTCTCAGCAAATAACCTTCATCTAAATATGAATAAGACTTCGTAAATCAGATTTCATCATCGGTAATGTAGATGTGACGCATTAAGTTTGATTTTGTAAGAGCAGAATGATGAATGGGCTGATGTCTTCATTTCACAGAAAAAGTAACGGGTTTATTTAATAACTTGAATGTTAATGATTCTTGAAAAAATGCTTCAGTTTTGACTGTACCTTGTCTTTCAATTTTTCATCTATCCTTATATGTTTTCAAGAATGAAAAAGAAATATTCGTGTTGAGTAAAACAAAATATAATCTCGACACTCGACAAAAAATATTGTTTTTACGTACCATTTGTGAAAAGCAAACTGGCCTATGACTCACCGAATCATTTGGCTCCTCGCAACTTGTTGCCTGATACTTAATTCATTTTTAGGCGTAATTTTAGGAATTTTTCAGTATTCAGGAATTGATGTGTTCTAGTTCTAGTTTAAGTTTGGTTTGACGCATTGTAGTTGACGATTTCTATACAAAATATGTTTCTCACAAAGGAAAATGAAGTTCATTATTATTATTATTATAATCACAATTAGGAGTTCAAGTACCAGAAGTTAACTTCAATCCAAAAGGATTTCGATTATGTCAGTTTTGACTGTACCTTGTCTTTCAATTTTTTATCTATCCTTATATGTTTTCAAGAATGAAAAAGAAATATTCGTGTTGAGTAAAACAAAATATAATCTCGACACTCGACAAAATAAATTGTTTTTACGTACCATTTGTGAAAAGCAAACTGGCCTATAACTCACCGAATCATTTGGCTCCTCGCAACTTGTTGCCTGACACTTAATTCATTTTTAGGCGTAACCTTAGGAATTTTTTAGTATTCAGGAATTGATGTGTTCTAGTTCTAGTTTAAGTTTGGTTTGACGCATTGTAGTTGACGATTTCTATACAAAATATGTTTCTCATAAAGGAAAATGAAGTTCATTATTATTATTATTATAATCACAATTAGGAGTTCAAGTACCAGAAGTTAACTTCAATCCAAAAGGATTTCGATTATGGAAATTTCATCTTTTTCTGCCTTCAACCCATGTGGAGGGCAAAGGGCTTGGTAATTAGGTATTTAAGTCCTCAGAAAATGTCGATTCCGAAAAAAGGAGAAAACATATTGAATATGTAGTAAAAATATGTATATAAAAGTAGAGGACAACATATGAATTAGGCCATTCAGTTGAAGAAATTTCTCCTCAATTGTTCATGAATAAATGAATATAGTTATAATTTTTTACAAGTATTTTCAATTGAATACCTAAACGCACGCTCCTGTAGAAAACGACCCGAACGCTCATAAAATATCTTGTTTGCGATACGAAAATAAGGTGGACCTGGTGAAGTATCATAAACCCGTCTATAGCAGCTGTGACAATTCATAACGAAATCACGATTTTGTTTCAGCACTGTGTTAGCGTTTTGTATCTATACTGGGCATTACTTACTTTTTACTATCAGGAATCAGAGTATAGATGGTTATTCAATGCTCATGTTGTCAGATTTATGACTGTAAAAATCCCTAGATTGAAACAAACATGTCAATTGGCGGCGACCTGCAGCTTTATCTCTAAGTTTTATAGTAGTCGAGCTGATATTTTTTTTCAAATACGACCACTACAAAAACATACAACGGTAATTGGAATTGAAATGACAGTCTGTAAAAGGTCTGTTCACAATTCCAGCTGTCCTATCGCCAAATGAAAGAGCCCAGAAAAGGCAAGACCAAAAATAGCTCACCATGTTTGATGAAAAGTCAAGGATTTGCTCACTGTTTTCTTTATACAATAATGTACCTGCTTATATTGAACAGACCTCCTATGTCAATAGAATCTTCTGGAAGTCGCTGACTTGGCCTTCGCCATTTCATTCAGAAAGTCCGAAATATAATCACTTCACATTTCATTACATAAACAGGACCGGGCCCTTCTTTTTCGGTAAAAATAACTCCATTGTGAAGCAATACAATCCGTTATTGAATATAATATAAACATAGTCACTATCATATTCAACTTTTTTTTTCAGTTGCCGGCCAATAAGGATACTCCAGGGAGTCACGAATCCAATTAATCTAATCCCTATAGATGAGTTCAAATGTATAGTACTATGTAGGAGAGAGTTAAGGACATTCGATTTGAATACCGGTAGTTTTTTAACGAAGCTGAAGGGGGTCATGAACCAAAAAATGCCCTTCTATGGACTACACGACCAAACCCATCTAGTGGCACTTAGTAGGAACCGAATGTACATAAATCTTATGAATTTAGAAACAGGTAATAATAAATCAACTTTTTGATTCAGTGATAATACATTCTTATAGAATTTCAGTGGATGTTCATCGGTGTGTTTATACAGGGTGACAATTTGAAAACTTACAGTGGCTAAATCTAAATATAAGAAATCGCTGAAGAGTACTTCCATAACAGGGAGAGAAAAACAAAACAATGTAATAGCTAACTTGTATTCACTTACCCAGCTACCTCAACTTCATATTCTTGAATGGCAACCTCCTACTTGTGATACCTTATCTAAAAGCTCTTAAGAAATGCTCTTCAATAGTACCCTACAAAGCTACATTCGATGTAGTGAGTTTTGATTTATCAAACAAAACACTATTTATTTGAATTGAAATTTTATTTTCTGTTTTTAATTTAAGAAATGTTTAAAAACATTTTTATCACCATCATAGCATTATTATTAAGACTCATAATTATTTTTTGTCTATTTATACCTGAAAAAAATTGACTTAGTTGATATCTAAGTAAAATCAACAAAGAAGGAATTCTCTGAAAGCGTGTTTTTCAGTTTTTTAAACTATATTTATTTTTCATTCTTCAGTTTCATATGCTATAAAAGCGTGTCTTTTAGTCTTTTTAAACTATATTTATTTTATCTAAACTTTGGGATCAATCAGCCGCATATTGGTTAGCAAAATGACCATTGATATTTTCCGATTCCGGAGAGGTAGCCTGAAAATCAGCTACCAAGCCCAAGACAGCAGGAGCGCAAAAGAGGGTTATAAATAAGGCAGCACGCCGTCTGGTAATAAAAAAAACTTTTTTCAAATGAAGAAATACATGTGACGTGAGTTTGAATTATATCAAGGAGGTGACGTACAGCGCCATCTGCCCGCGAATAGATCAAGCAATAATGTCGATATCAAGGAGGTTCCGTATAGCGCCATCTGCCCGCGAATAGATCACGCAATCATGTCGAAATATCAAGGAGGTCATGTACAGCGGCATCTGCCCGCGAATATATCAAGCAATAATGTCGATGATTCTATCAAATACAGATCCCGAGATTGAGAGTTACTAACAAGCAAACATACATACATACATACAGGTGAAGCTAATAAAAGCGTGTTAAAAAAAAAGGACCAACCAAGATTACTGGACGAAGCAACGCAAATTGAAATACTCGGACAGTTTGCAATGAATCATACTTCATCGACTCGTCAGGTACTACAGTAACCGGGTTTTCCCGCGAATCTGTAAGGAAAGTACTTAAATTACATATACAGGGTGTCCCTGGACTTCCTCTTTTCCTCTCGGGAATGTATAGATGGCAAAGAGAGGATATGACTTTTATTAATCGAGTTTTATTCACTGATGAAGAAGGTTTCAGTAGAGATGGAGTTATCAACTCTCATAATCTCCATATATGGGCCGAAGAAAATCCCCATGTGATATCGCAAACCAAACACCAACGGAAATTCAACGTGAATGTTTGGGCTGGTATCATAGGAAACCATCTTATAGGACCATTCGTTCTACAGGACCGATTGAATGGAGAACGTTATTTGGAGTTCATTCAGAATGATTTGAATGGACTTTTGGAACATGTTCCATTGCAAACCTGAAGATATATGTGGTTGATGCATGATGGCGCTCCTCCTCATTTTAGTTTGATTGTGCGTGACCATCTAAACCATATTTTCCACAATAGATGGATTGGTAGAGGTGGGCCATATTCATGGCCATCGCGGTCTCCGGATTTAAATCCATTGGATTTCTTTCTGTGGGGGCATCTAAAAAGCCTTGTTTACGCTACACCTATTCACACAAGAGATGCATTGTTGAATAGAATAAAATTACATTGTGAAGCCATACGAAACGACCCTGGAATGCTATTTCAAGTACAGAGAGGGTGTCTTCGCAGACTAAGAAAATGTATAGAGAGAGAAGGTGGTCATATCGAGCAGTTTCTGTAGCGGATTTTTCATTTCTGTTTGCTCTTGAGGCTCTTGAGTTTCGTTAGTTAAACGTGTTTGCATTATAAAAATTCGTTATGAACATTTTACCTATCATTTCCATTTTCCTTAAAAACTAATATTTTCGAATAATGGTAGACATCTCAGGATAAATGTTGATGAATTAACGTTATCATTATTATTTCTGCTTTGATAATTATTCATTTCAAATAATGGTGGACGAGCGGGTTTGATGTCGTCGAGTGAAACTACATTTTTATCAAGACTCGTTGCTCCGATCGACTTTCCACACGAGTACTTTTATTCATAAAATTGTCCAAGTAACCTTAATTTGTTGAAAAATATTGAAAAATATCTGTCATTTCAAAGTTTTGGGGTGTGGACCATCGGGGGTAGTCCGTTCCTGACTTTGTAGCAAAACAACTGACTCCTGCATGAAAGCTCATCGAAGGAATTCATTTGTTTAGTCAATTACCAAAATTTGGATGATTTTGAATATTCACTTGAAAAGTTATTAAAGAAAAACATTTTTCATTTTGTAACTTCGAGGGCCCGTAACTTGGTTACGAAGACTTTTAGGAAAAAAAGTTATATGAAGTACTGGTGATATTTTGACCCCATCTATACATTCCCGAGAGGAAAAGAGGAAGTCCAGGGACACCCTGTATAATGTAAATCCTTCAAGAACTTGGTGACGATGACCCCGACAGAAGAATAGAATTTTGTGAATTTACTACAGCTAAAATTATCGCCGAACCTTGGCTCATGAAAAATATTCGCTTTACCGCTGAGTGCACTTTTTATTCAAATGGGCACGGAAATAAACAAAACTGTCGTTACTGGAGTGACGAGAACCTACGACTATTTAAAGAAGTGCATACGCAATACCCCGGAAAAGTTCATGTTTGGGCTGGTATTATGAGAGATGCAATTATTGGTCCATTATGTTGTTCCAGTTAGACCATGGTTAGATAATAATAGTGCTGATTATTGGATTGGAAGAAGAGGTCCTATTGAATGGCCTCCTAGATCCCCAGACCCATCTCTTCCAGATTTTTTTTTTGAGCCCACCTGACATCTGTTGACCTGAAAAAAATGAGTATCATTTTGAACATTTCTTAAATTATTAATAGAAAATAAAATCTCAATTTGAATAAATAGTGTAGGGTACCACTGAAGAGCCTTTCTCAAGAGCTTCGAGATAAGGTATCACAAGTAGGGGGTTGCTACTCAAGACTATAAAGTTGAAGTGGCTGGGGGCGAGGGGGTAAGTGAAAACAAGTTAGCTATTACATCATTTTATTTCCCCCTCGCTATTATGGAAGTGGTTTTCAGCGATTTCTTATATTTCATTTGGTTGCTAAGATATATCCATTGTTAGTTTTCAAATTGTCACCCTGTATATGTGATTATGGTGTTAAGTAACAATGTACGTGGACTGTATTTCCTGTGACATGAATTTGGATGTATTTCCTGATTTTGGTAAACAGAGACGGCAAAGATTTTGAATTGAACCGAATTGAGCTCCCATCCTGTCGGGTTTCACAGCAACACCAATCTTGTGTCACTTTGTAGCTTGTTCAGCGTTTTTGACAGAATATCGTATACGGGGAGGTACGCGATTCATTCACAAAATGAAGACTAGCAAAGTAATATCTCGATTTGAATAATAAATATCTTCTACAAACAAAAACTTTTTATCAAAAAACACTTGAGTGAGGAGAAGAAAATAATGAGAATAATAAAATCACAGGTAAATATGCAACCTATATTCAAACATCTAGATTGGTGTAGGTAATTTATAAGTAGGTTTATTTTTTTTTGTGGATGAGATGGTACTATTCAGCTATTTTTAAATTTCCTTAGTGAATCATACTGACTCTTTGAAGAAGTCGACGAGTTTTTGAAGTCTAATCGATTCATTTCGAATCATTTCTAGATAATTAATCAGGAACCTTCTTCATTTTTCCACAACTGTTCCTTATATTTACGACACATCAACGTATAATATGTTAATAGATAGGGAGATCAGACAGTAGTCCGTTGATTAGAATCAGTAATTCGGCACTATTGTGAATGTCGAATCGATCCTCACGCTGGAAATCCCACCTTCAAAGTTACGATCTCATGTATATATCATTGATATCGAACCTAGCTAAAATTTTAGAAACTGAACTCATTTCTTGAAAAGAATAAACTATGTAAAATGTATGAATAAATCCAAGCCATCCATTGGTGTTTTTTTTGGATTCAACAGATACTTTTGACTTAGTTGACTACACCAAGCTACTCAATACTTTAGAAAATATTGGGATACGAGGTATTGCACAAGATCTTTCCAAAAGTTACCTCACAAATAGAAAGCAACGAGTGAGAATAGGCGATAAACTCAGTGGAGAATGAATTTTATTGTGCGGTGTACCCTAAGGAACGGTACTGGGACCAATCGTTTTCAATATGTATTTGAATAACTTTTTCCATTGGATACTCACTCTAAAATCATAAGCTTTGCTGATGAAAACACTTTCTATTTACCCTTTAGCAGTTATGATGTTTCATCGCCAGAGTATGAAATAAAAATAACCGTAGTTGAAAGATTAAATATTTCGGCATTGAACTAGACAGTGCTTAGCTCGCACAAGTTTTCACTTTGAGAGATACGAAATAGTCAATCCAATCCCATTTTGAAAAATAGGTCCTTCATTACTCTTTTACTGGAATACAATTTGGGTTAGATATTCTTACACAGTGAACAGTGAATATTTGTTATAATAATAATAATTATATTAATAATACTGATTGTCATTATTATTCCATTATATATCGATAAATTGTATAATATATTATCATTCTCTTTTTGAAGGTGATTGCGTCACCACATTCAAAGCCGGTGAAGACCGCTTTCTCAATTCCCTGCTGGTTTCGGGGGACGGAAGGTAAATAAATTTGGGAATAACCCAAAAATCTACAAGTGAAAACTATTCGATAATATTTTTCAGAGTTCTTGTATGTGGCGACGAAACCCAAAAACCTTTTCCGTTACTGGTGTGGAACCTCAAGTCCAGAAAGTTACTGTATGATCTTAGAATTCCTCATCATCACTTCATCACCTCGCTAGCAGCAATCACATATGAAGGTAAGATGTAAATTATATTCGAGAATAGCTATTCGTAGGGGAAGGTAGGGTAAAGTGGCCACCCTAAGCTTTGAGCCCACGCCAACCTAATAAATGTCAACCTTTTTACAGTTTGTTTGTTTATTATTATCCGTGTACTTATTGAGTCTCGATATTATATTGTTTACAGACCAATATTCTGATAATTTTAGCAAAATTTAAGATTGAAGTCGAAATGGAAATTTCACCACTTTACCTATCTAGGTCGGGTAAAATGGCATATACAAATTCATAAACGGGAAAAGTGGCCTACTTCAAATATAACATCCAAATTATGTTATCATATTTATTGAAATTTTGCATGGAAAAAATATTTAAGTAACTGAGACAACAGTTTCATTAAAGTTTTTAAAAAGTATTCTAATGCTACATATTAATTCACAACAAGCAACAGTCTTTTATTTTTCATAATCTTACTTACGTTCATTTATCATAAACAGTCATCATTTACTTATTATCAGCTTTTTATATTCATTGCAAAAATCAAGTCTTAACTTGTTAGCTTCTTCTCAAGTATTCATTGATAACAAATTAAATCCACTTTTAGTTATCAATCTATAGAATATAAGTAACAACCTCACCATTTGTATTGGTTCATTCATAATCGCAATAGAAAATATTCTTAGGAACAAATTCACACTGAAAGTTATCATCGTTGTCATCACAAACAAAGCACGCTTTATTGGCCCACCGCTGACAACTGGAACACTGTATCCAACCATCTTCATGTTTTGATTTAGACCAAACTTCACCACAGTAAAAGCATTCAGGGCCATCATCTGTGTCATCATTGTCGTCAGTACATTTGTCACTATTTTTAGCATCGTTCGTGCTATGTTTTTTATACAAGTTTTGAGTGGTTTGGCAGTTTTAGTTGGAGTTGGTTCAATAGTAGCTTTTTTCACTCTCTTTGTAACTTTTTTTGTTCTTGCTGTATTTTTTCTTCTTGCAACTCGTTTTCATATGGGATGCTTGTAAAATTACCGCACGCCCTCTCTTTCTATTCATATTTCTGGTCTCAGGCAATGCTTTGGGAATCTGGGTTGTGGATCAAATGTGGATCAAATGATGGTGTAGTAACTGCAGCTGGCGTTATCTGGGTACTTATATTAACGTCTTGATTCAATGTTTTTCATTTCTAAAATATGTTGCATTAATTCTTTCTCTTGTTTTGGACTAAAAATTGGACGAAGAGACCCCAGTAGTTTTATGTTTTCAACAGCGTTGTTCGAGGAACACCAGGTCACTTTACCTTATCTATTGGTGGAGCATTTTACCTGATTTAGCATGCGGTAAAAAAATTATACAAAAATGACAAATAAGGTTGTATTGATCTACTTTGCAGCGAACTGAATAGCTCAATTAATCCACTAATCGATAAAGTCTTTCATTGTCTTTCTATGAACCTGATGACATTACTTTTTAACTATATTCAAATCACTCACCTTAGATCAGATACCACAAAACACAATTATTTCACCATGAAAGCTGAAGACGAGCACTGACCCGGCTGGTGTTAATGGAGGCAATATGGCATCAACCAATGAATTATTTCCATATGTTGTTAACAGATAGCTCTTATCAGTTCGTCCGGAAACAGAAGGTGGCCACTTTACCTGCCTGGGCCACTTTATCCATCCTTCCCCTATTACTGAAAAGAAAAAGACACTTCACTTCCATGTAGGTGATACGTATAATTTTTCCTTCTATCCGCGTAATATATTTTTTATTCATTCATGGCACGAATAACGAATTCATCAATATATGCTTAAATGTTTTCGCTTAGCACATAGTAATGGTGAAGTCTTATAGAAATTCCTGTCAGATTATGTTCAAGTTCAGGTTCGACATTATTCGATCAGAATTTTTTTGCGTAACTTTCTGCAATGATGGTTGATTTCCAACCGCCGTACTGTGTTCACTAAAAAAAGTTCTTCTGGAACTATCCCCGTGCCAACTATGCTTGTTCCTAATCTTTGCTCAAAAACAACACCGTAATCGTGCTTCAGCCTCCGTATTCACAAGATTTTGCCTCCTGCGACTTTTTTCTGTTCCCAAGATTGAAGAAACCTATGAAAGGATGAAATGAAAACTCACCTTATTTTATGACCAGACCCCGTATTATTCAAATAAATCATACTGTCATTATTATTTTTCAGGTAACTATGTTTGCTGTGTTTGTTACGAGATTGCAGAACCCAATCCGAATTTCATCGTTGTATACGATTTACAAAGCGGCACGCTATTCAAGAAATGGAAGCCATCTTGTAACACGGTCTCCTTAGAAATAAGCTCGCAAGGAGGTTGTGTAATATCAGGACTTGAAGATGCGAGAATTCTTGTTTGGGATCTTATAACTGGTAAGTTTTACATGTAGATCACTGTGTATTTGGAAGAGGTTTTTGTTATGTTGATGTCTAGTGTTTTGTCGTCACTCTCTTAAGGGTGATTGACAGGCCCTCTGTACAAACCACATCGCACTCACCCAATAATACTCGGGATTTTTTTGACACGTTAACTATTTGATTGACGATTTAAAAAGGGTTGCAGCTTTAGATAGCGACAGCTATTTTAAGCTGTCTATGGCAGCTTAAAATATAATATTGTTACGTTTTTCCCCGTGGGTTCACCAATAATTGACTACACTGAATAATCAAACTCAACTTTATTTCACTTTAAATACAACAAACACTTCAACTAAAACTTCAACTGTT